CTTACATCCAATATATATAATATACAATACCCTGGAAGTAGTTTATATTATGTTATTATATTCCTCTTTAATATGAAATATAACAAGTCAGTTGTAATAATTTTCAAATTTTGATCATGAGTTATAATTATTTTCTTGACTTTGACAAATATGCATGTCAATAGCATTTATTGCATTTATTGCTGACGTCGAGCTCTACGGGTTTACTAAAAACCAGCGCTGTGGTATGTTACTGCAGCACATGCTGAGTTGAGTAAGTCCCGTGATGGCATGACGCTGCAACACAGACGATACCAAACTATCTACTTTGCATGTTTACTTTAATTGTAATGCCCAAATAAAAGAATAACCGACATTACCCACAGAAAGCTGTTTTCACAAATGCAGCTCGTCAATGTAAAATATATTAGTTACAAAAACAGCTCATCACGACATCTGGCATACCAACAGGTACTAAATACCCAACTGCGCTACCTTGTATCGCGATTACCAATCCTCTTGAGTAATTGGTTCGTGCTAAAACGTACGCGCGGTTGTCGTGCCACTGCAGCGCCTCTATAAGTTTCTAATCTGAAGGTGCCCTAACCAATCAGACGCCACAGACACAGGGTTACCTCTGACTGGTTATTTTTAATATTGGTATTTAAATAAACGCTCTTATGAATGAAATTATGAATGCTATTAGCACTGATATTACAATGAGATATATCAGAATACAGCAGTAAGCCTGTTTATTATGGCTAGTGCAAAAGTTCCGTAGTTAATACGACAAGGTTTCCTAATGAAGCTTGCATTAGAATTATCTACATTATACACGCGTACATAAGCAAAAATTCCTTCCATTCATCCTAAATACGTTGCACTAAGAGCTAGAAAACTACTGCCAGTAACTAATACATTACTCGTTGTATATTAGTTCCGGAAGTACTAGTCACGATACTAGCCTTTAATAAACAGGCCATTTAAGCTCAGCCCTAAAGATGGCAGTCAAAAGGTACGCGGATTTGGCCTCAACTTAAAAAAATATCAGCCCCAAATCGTATTAAGATTGAAACACGATTATAGTCTCAATTTTGTATTGCAAATTAGTAACGAGTACTTATGAATAATTCGAAAATTTGTTTCAACAATTTTTCACTATTGACTGCAGAGGTTTCAACTATTTTAATGCAGTTTTAAAGAAAAATATATCCCAACTATGAATTTGAAGTTGACCATCTGCGTAAACTTGTCATCGATTTTCTATACTAAGTCAATAGTGAAAAATTTATATTTAACTAAAAAAAAGGAGTAAGCAAAGAACTGACCAATAATTTATAAGAGTGACAGCTTAAACGGGATTATCATTTATCTGAAACTTTGTTTTAAAATCGCACAAATAATGCACAATGACTGGAAATCCATTTAATAAAAGGAATGTTAAATTTTTTACAAATTCTTAACGATGTTTCGGACAATGTTTGTTCCATTTAAAAAGAGTCACTGCATTATAGATGTTACATAAGATGAATGTACTCGTAACTTTCAAAAGGCACAGGTGTCCTTCAACACATCATACACTGACTTCAACACTGATAAATCATAAATGGCAAGCGTGGCGTGTAATAACTTATGTTATTGAATATAACCCACATAACAAACCTTAAATTTGGCATTAGTTAACTTCAGACTAAGTATAATGTCGCAATAATTTTAATTAACACACGGTAAGGACGTTTCAAAGGCGAAATGTACGCGCTCGTAACAAAATACAAAAACGTGATTTTTGACTTGTGACACTGTTGAAGCGGATGTGCGTTATGTGTATGTACAACTTTTGAAGAGACATGAAAATATCTTTAATCAAATTATTTCTGTGAAATGTCTAAAAGTTGTTGAACAAAAGTACAATGTAATTAAAACAGTATGTTCCTTAAAAAGTTTTTCTAGACTTTTTACGACATACTAACGAAATTGGTCTATTTTTGCTTGCCCTTATAAGTGGTAATGATTTTTGAAATGTATAAACTTATACCTACATGTTCTGAATAGGTGAACAGAGTTTAAAATGTCAGTGCTAGCCATTAAAATGTTTATTCTCTTATATTGTTATTATATAGTTCGCCAAAATTCGTAATCTAAGAGTTATTCATCACTTTTTTGAAGCGTCGCTAGTTAAATAAATATTTTTGTTAGTTTATCGTAGAGTCAAACAGTACAGGTCAAACGGCTGCGTTAATTGAAAAATTGTGGAAACCAATACAATAAATAACGCCTATTTTGCATGTTCTAATTTTAGTTAATGAACGTTTATAACTATTGTCAAATAAATATGAATATTGCTGAAATATTTCAAAACTAAATTACTATTCAATTATTTATTATTATACACTTATTATGTTTAGTATGCTAGAAATATGATGAAGGATAATAAATAATTTTAATTATATTAGTACGTTGTTTTATTTTATACAAGTCGACAGTCGCCTTCGGTTCGAGTTTTCAAGGGTGCTCTTTTGAAGTTTTGTGATTGTTCAGGCTCCACATGTTATTTTTTTCCATCCTCTAAGGTTAGAGCTTATGAAATATTTATTCACATTTGATATATTTATTTATAGTTTTATTTTATGCATTCGTTTTACTATAGATTTTGTAAGTATTAGTGTATCAACATGTATGTATTCGTATGTACATTTGATATAATAAATTTATCTGCGTATTTATTGAGTGCGTGAGACGCACTATAAGTTTCCGGAACGAATAAGAAAAAAATACTATAAATGTTATAATTATTAATACAAAGCTCGAACACTCAGAAAAAATTCCTTCAATCCGGTCGGATTCGAACCGACGTCTTCTTGCATACCGTGCCAGACGCTATACCAACTAAGCCACGGAACGAACCAACGGACCTCACGAATTTGTCTGTGCTTGCGTCGTGTCTCTGTACTTGGTCTTTCAACGACTTTTTAGTCGTAGCGCCATCTATGAGTAATCTATGACAGGTTCGAATCCGACCGGATCGAAGGAATTTTTTCTGAATGTTTTTTCTGAGCGTTCGATCTTTGTATTAATAATTATAACAAACTAGTGGAGTAATTTCACAAAAAATAATTAAATATCAATTGAATAAAAATTTAATTAAATACTATAAATGGTCAGAAATGAATTTATTGGGTCAATGCACTTTTTCATATGAATGAACCAAAAAACATTTAAGCTCCGTGACAATCTCTGAAACATATTTTCCATACTCTTCCGCGACGCGACTCGTTTTTTGAGCATCAGTCAAATTGTGTGGGATCCACCGAGAGCATAGCTTTTTCACACCCAAATGTTTATGTAGTATTGATTGTATTTGACTCATGCCTATGTCTAAAGATACCCGAATCTCATGGTATGTCACATGCCTGTCTGTTTTGATCATACGGCGCACAGCATCGATGTTTTTGTTGTTCACAGCAGTGAAAGGGCGATCATCACGAAATTCGTCACTGAGATTCACACGACCGCGTTTGAATTCTGCAAACCAGCTATAAATAATCGCCTGGCATGGTGCTTCATCGCCAAAAGTAGTTTGAAGCCGAGCGAACCTCCGCTGAGCTGTTAAATTACACTTAAAGTCGTAGAAAATCATACTATGAAAATTTTCACGAATTAAATCCATGGTGATGTAGACAACCGATTTCTAAAATGACGCCACAATGTAAAAACAAGTGACAGTCAGATAAAACGAACTGTATTCTACAGCCAAGAAGTTACGTTTTCAAATGTTGTAATTACTTTTTAAATATTGTATAAGTGGCCAGTTCCAGAAAGTTATAGTGCGCCCTAAGTACAGTATATTCAATTTCTTTATTTACCTATTTTAGTTTCACCCCAATAACCAACTTTCCTCTCAGATTTTCAAATGTTAGTTGGAAATCTCTTTATGAGATAAGCTCGCCTCTGTACACAAATATTTTAAATTATTTCTGAACATTTGTAATTTACTTTGTGGTACAATAAAGTGTTTAAATAAATAAATAATAAATATTTTGTAGAATATCGTCATATCTCAAAAATATCTTCAATAAATTCATTAGGAAAGAGTGTCATACTTAATTTCGACTAAATAGTACTTCGACCACACATTAATTCCACGGAACACTACTTCGACAAAACACATATTCGACAAAACACATGTTCGACAAAACACATGTTCGACAGATCACTAGTCCGACAGTTCACTGCTTCGACAACACAAACATTCGATAGGTCACTACACCGACAGAAAACTACTTCGACATTAATTAAATGTTTAATGTTTTGTCGGAAAAGTGACCTGTCGAACATGTGATTTGTCGAAGTGGTATCCCATCGAATTAATGTGTGTCGAAGTACTGTCGAGTCGAAATAATGTTTGTCGAAATTAAGTACGACACTCATCAGAAAGATGGCTTAAAAACAGAGCCATGTCTTCACTGCCTACTATCCGTCAATTTTGAAAATTGACGAATAGTAGTCCATCCCAACGTTGTCATGTAAAATAATAATAATAATAAAAGCCAAAACCGAGAAACGTAAGTATCTCAATCTTGCACCCGAGATCACCGACATATGCGATGTGGCCTCCACAGAAATAATCCCACGTGTTTTGTCCGCAAACGGGTTAATTCCAGTCAGCCTCGATAGCACCTTGAGGCCGTATACGATCTCGAGTCCCTGGCCACGGCCGACTGTGCCAATGCCGGGGAATACTGCCTCTACCATTTAACAATTCAAAATTTATCTTTTAGGCCAAAGGGAGAGGCGAAAATGTAAAATAGATATCCAAAATAATAATAATGATAACGCACACACTCATAGCCACGCTCTAGAGAAACCATTTATCATAGACAACCACAAATTGCACCCAAATTCACGAGAGAAATAAATGTAGGCCATACAAATATATCTCCTGACCCGGGAATCGAACCTGGGACTTCTGCGTGGCAGTCCAGCATCGCAACAGTTCGGCCACAGAGGCAGTTGTGATTATTCTAACCAATATCAAGCTCGGAATGCCAGTCACAATAAAGTTTCCTGAATAAGTTTCAGTTATGTCAAAAAGGGATCAATTTTGGATTGGGTCACTATTCGTAAAAAGCAGCGATGTGTTCTGGACCCGGTTTAGTAGCAGTAGAGCTCCTTGTGAAAGAGCTCATCCAAGGAAATATTGCCAGCTTACCTATTTCTGCCGCCAAACATTAATGCGTTCCGGTTTTGAAAGGTTTAGGGTGCTGGTGCAATTACAGGCACACGGGACGTGCCTTGTAAGCAGGACAAAGATTATAATTACTAATGTCGGCGAAAGAAGCTAAAAGAATCATGTAACGGTTTCTAAATCTGTTTTCGTTTTTTTTTAACGAGTACACTGCAGATGTGTTCTTAGTATTAATGTACCTCATTGCAATTTAGGATCTAAAGTTATATCTAAAATACAACAGTATCTACAAGGTTCATGGAAAATAAAATAAAAGGTATGGAAAACAAAAAACAAAATAAAGGCGTAAAAATTATATTTCATTAACATAAATTACATATATCAAGTGGATTTTTTACTAAAATAATCTGTGATTTTTTTTGTTAATTTTTTCTTAATTTCCGCAGGCACCTCTGATTTTGACATGTCGTCGTCTGAATCGGGCACCTTTATTTTTTTATTCTTACTGTTGGAGATAGCAATACAATTTTCCCCACTGTCCAATACTTTCGAAGTATTTCCCGGTTTAGACGATTTTTCATTTACCAAAGTAAAACTACTTGTTGGCATTCCTTTAGGCGCCATTTTGTTCGGAGTAGATTTATGTTCAAAAAACCTCGAGTACTCATTAGTTAAATCTCGACTATTTGTGGACAGATTTAATTGGCCACTTTCTTCGTCCAATTTTTCCATCTCTTCGAGTAAACGGCTAGTATGTGCCATTTTGTTTTCAGACGCCATTTTGTTTCCAGATGCCATTTGGTTATCAGGAACTATTTTGTTATCAGACGCCATTTTCATATCGACCGCCATTTTGTTTCCATCGTCTGTTTCAATACTACTCTCGACCAGTATCGGTTCACTTAGTTCTTCATCTTGTGAAAACAAATCAGGTGAATCATTCTTTTGCTTTTCTTCGGGCTTGGGTTCTAGTGTAAGCGTAGTTTTATTCTGAAAAAGACGACAGACGGTATATTATGGTAGGTACTTTACATTTCATCCTATTATTTACTTTAGTAATTTATTAGGAAATATGCAAGAAGCGCGTGTAATAAAACCTAAAATTCCACTTACATCATCAAGTATCAGAGCTAATGGAGAGTAAGAAAAATGGCGGTATTTTGTGATTACGATATTTACCCAAACCAATTTTTAGTTTAAGCATTATTGGGTTTTGAGTTTTTTGATTGTTTGTTACCTGTTTAAGCTGATGACTCTATAGCCATTTTATAGACAAGATATAAGCCTATTTTGTGTTTATAAATTTCCTTATAAAAAATCTTATAAACAAGTCCAAAGAAAAGCTCAAAAATGTCGTACATTTTTACGCTTTTTACGTACCAGGTTTTAATAATTTCACTTTACTATTGTTTGTTTCAAAAACTCTTACACAGCGTCTTAAACAGAGGCAGTGGGTTCGAACCTCTTGAGTTTCTCGGAATTTATGTGCAAAATCTAATTGAAAACCATGAGCTTTTCGGTAAAGGAAAACATCGTATTGAAACACACGTCGAAGATTCACAAACCTCGGAAAACGTGTGATGTCCCCAACCCACATTGGGCCCGCGTGTCAGACTATTGGCCTAGACCCTGGCCTGAGAGGAAACCCATGCCCATCAGTAGGACGTATAAATGGGTTGATGATTCTATGTATATGATACGGGTTTTCTAAACCTTTAGTTAGGGAAATACAATAGGCTAGTCGTTTTAAGACGTTTGTCCATGCACTTGAGTTAAAGAAGATCCTTCACCGCCGTGTAATGGATCAAACAAAACTAGAATCTGAGAAAATTATACTGATAAACCAATAAAGTAAATATGCGTGCGTGCAATTAAAAGCTCGAGTAGTGTAACAAGCATCGAGTATATAACCAGAAAAAAAATGAAATGTCATTTAATTTGTTTGAAACTCTTCTGCCTTATCATTACTGTGACAACTGCGCTCCGATGGCCAGCCCGAATCCGAAACAATTGACGAGTGTCGACAATTGTTTCACTTCAAATCGACCAGTTAACTTGAGCTTTGTTATAATGGACGAAAATTACATGTTTAATATTTAATTACCGATGAAATTTGATTCCGTTTGTTTTATAATTAGATATTTTGCTGTTTTTCCCGACACCACCGAATGAAACAGCACGCCATTGTTAGAGATATTATCTTTATTACAATAAATACAGAATATTTTTGGAATATACGGAGAAGTATACAGACATTGACTTACAATTATATGGACGTCGGGTCCGCGCTAAAAAGTGTCCATCGTATACAGAGCGTCATTCACGCTTTAGTCTTCGTTTGTTCGACTGACAGCGAAGCAAGCAAAATTAGACAGTACTGCGATGACATTACAATTTAAATTCAACGTTTTAGCTTTTTCATATTCCTTTACATGTCACTACGTTTAAATAGGTTGACTTGGGACATTTTTTTCGTGGTTTTTGTATTAGACCCGTCGTCCATTTATTTGTAAGTCAATGTATACAGAGGTCAATTGTTGGCGCTGTCTATACTTCAGCGCAAACGAGAGTTGATGTTTATAAGTAATGTATCACTGATGAGTTACCAGAAATGTATGGCCTTTATTTCGTCTCTATTTCTGGTTATATACTCGATAGTAATAAGCAATAACATAAATTAAATCAATACTATATACTATAATTTAGTAGCAGTAGAGCTCCTTGTGAAGGATTTCGTCCTGGGTAGTACTGCACCTTACCTATTTCTGCCGGCAAGCAGTAATGTCGCTTTACTGTGTTCCTGTTTTGTAAGGGTGCTGGTGAAATTACAGGCACATGGGACTTGTCAACTTATGTCTAAGGGTGACGGGCGCGGTGGTAGTGCCCCTCAGATCTTTGCAATTTAAAGCTCTGAGTGGCACTGTAACTGTTATGGACAGGCGTGTCGCTAACCATCTGGCGCACGACTTGTTCGTCCCTTCACTTGATGTTATAAAAGAAAAAAAATCACAAAATCCGTAATCAATAAACAACATAAACATCGACATAATAAACATAATTTTTTTCTTGAAGTACCAACGTGTAAGGTATTTTTACTTACAGCTTCGACTCTGCTGCTCCGTCGAGGCGTTTTCGATTCGTCTATAAGGGCTTGCTGTATAAAAGAGTGTAGATGTGAATGCAACACGTCTGTCGTTGAGAACCGTAGAATGTATCGGTATAGTTGTCCTGGAAAATATAAGTATTATCAAAACTATACTTCGTTACACCACGAACCATCGAACATATAACCAGAAATAGAGACGAAATAAGGGTCATCCATCCCTGGCAACTCATTAGGCAAATGGGCCTTATATCACTTTTAAATACCAACTCTCGTTTGCGCTGAAATCACAAATTAGAAAGCTGAAATAGTACAGTGCCAACAACTAACCTGTGTGAACGTCTCTTAATTACAAAACAAACGGAATAAAATTTCATCGGTAATTAAATATGTTATTTTTCAATTATAGCAAAGCTCAAGTTAAACTGGTCGATTTGAAGTGAAACAATTGACGACACCTGTCAATTGTTCCGAATTCGGGCTAGCCAATCGGAGCGCAGTTGTCACCGTAATGATAAGGCAGAATAGCTTTCAAACTAATTAAATGACATTTCGTCTCTATTTCTGGTTATATACTCGGTGCCATAAACCAATAACTCGAGAGAACTCGAACAAGACAGCGTAGTCGGTGTTTTAGTACCTATTGGAACACCAGATGTCGCTACGAGTACCAAATGGCTATTTTTGTAAATAATTTGTTTTACATTGCCAAGCTGCAATTTATCAAAGCTACTCTAATTTCTAGTGATAACAAACAAATCAACTAGATGGCGCTCATTGCACAGATTTATGGATAGTGTGGGCTATTCATTTATTTGAACAATTTTCTCTACCTAATTTCGATGGCAATTTCTATTATTTAAATATCGTACAACATTATCATGGAGTATTATTGAATATTCGAGTGTAGTAATCCGAAATATTATTTAATATGTCACGATAACTAACTCAACTACGTAAATAATAATAATTGCGACCAAAAAAAACTAACCAGAAATTACCCATTTTGTTTAATATTGCCGCCATCTACACATATTAGTGTTTATAACTATTTTTATTGTTATTACAAAATGCATGTATACTGTGTTGTCTACTTAAGGAATAAATGTTTTCTATTCTATTCTATATCTATAATTAATTTATAAATTACTTTGTAACACAATGCCATCTATGGAGAGGAATATTTGTCAAAGTTCAGAAAACAATTTTAGGTCATGACCAATATTAAATAATATTACAAGGGAAAAAAACTGATGTCTTGAATGTTGTGTGTCGGTCTAGTAACAACCCTAATGCACAAATAAATAATGAAGATCAAAAGCGGTAGTTACAAAAACTGGCACGGCTGGAAGATGCCGACACCCGCCTCTTCAGTCCCTTCGAGACCATGGACGTTGCAATACGTCCGAAACGTCGAGGTAATTAAATATGTTTTATACGTGATTAAGTCCCGAATTAAAAGTGAAATAAAAAACTGACTTCTCATGTTTCATATTAAAGAGGAATTAATTGATATCCACGGCCATTTACATAAACTACTTCTAGGCCACTGATTAGCGCCATCTAGGGTATAAGATGGAATTTTGAGCTTTTTCAGAGTTACAAGATTTACAGTCCTCTGAATGTACCATCCGTTCAGCTGTTCATCATCTCTTTTCCCAGTTAGTGTAGAGATCTGTCATAAAATGAATATTTATTTTACTTCGACATGTAAGGTCGACTTGAAATTTGCTATCCACGGAAATACGATGACTTTGATTTGATGCTGCTGATGATGCAACCAGGACATTCTGAACCCAACTACTCAACAGTAGTACTGTCGTGTTTGGACTCAAGGCTTATTCAATTGGTTTCCAGTTGCTAGTTTCCCGATTGTGACTTTATTGACTTTTTGGAGTACACTGTATGGAATCGGTGGTTTTTTAAATTTTAATTTAAGTTTTGTTTCTTCCTAATTCCTAAATTTATTTTTATGTAATAATGTTCCCCGTTTTAAAGTCAAAACATTTTAACTTGAGACTCCATTTTAATTTCAGAAGCCATTTTAATTTCAGACGCCATTTTGTTTTCAAAAGCCATTTTCTGTACAGACGCCATTTTCGTACCGAGCGCCATTTTGTTCCCGTGACAGACGCGAAAAAATCAAGATAAAGAGATGAAGAAATGAAGAACTTACCAACAGTAACATTATATCTCGCCAGAATGTTATAAACGTTGATAATCTCGTCGCGCAGCTCCGTGTCCCCGAAGGTGTAATAGGCCATGGGCCGCCGGGCCACTGCACAGGCCATCATCTGGATGAGCGACTTAAGCTGCGGCGATCCACCGAACACGCCGCAGCCCCAGTTGCCCGTGGCCACGCCCGGGAACTGCAGCGATTGCGTGTCTGCGCTGTAGAACGAGAAGCCCACCCACGCCTGAAAGAAACACAGTAACTTTATTAAACCGAGATCTTAAAACTAGACTCTTTTGTTCTATGATTATTAAGAAAATGACAAAGACAGTAGGCTAGTGAAGGTTAATGATCTCTATCTAAATAGTGAAGCGAAAACGACGTGATGTTTGTAACCGTCGTCTGTAGGACTCCTTAACGGTATAATTTTTGTTATGTATTATATAACGTATTTAGCAAACATTACTGGCTTGCGTTAGAAGAAATTAGGGAGTACTAAAGAAACTACGATTTATTGCCAAGCTTTCTAAAATAAAGCTGACGCACATGTGCGCCATAAAGTCATTCTAGACTGGTTATAAGAATTGCGTTTATATTTTTGATAGTTGTTCCGCCCTCACGAAATTGACAAAGGTTACAGAAATGGTCATTGTATAAACAAAGAGCATAATTTTGGAAACGGCTTTTGTTGCACAATTTCACGGCATAAAACTAAATGACAGGGAACACTTTATGAGGAAGCAATTGCTTTATGAGGAAGGGTACTGTATAAAAAATGTAACGAGAGCCGGTAAGAACAATAAACGCCAGATGCCAATAAACAAGATATGCGCATTGACAAAACGGTGGGTGTTAAAGAAAGTTTAACAAATAGGACACTAAGGTAGCCACACCCTTTAGAACAAAGAGAATTTCGGTTATTGGTCAAGTTAGGAACCGTATGCACGAAAACGGGGATGGTGAAGATGGAGAGGGAAATCGGAAGCCGGGGCGAAAACCTTGGATCAGGGAGACGGCAGTTGGGTACCTAGCTTTTCGGGACGCGGCGTTGAGCCTAGGCTCGGGGGAGTCGAAGCTAGGATCCTTATCGTGTCGCGCGCGAAATTGAGTAGTAGCGCAGTTGGGTTTCCTCCTATTTCGCAACGTTTGTCGCGGGCGCGGAGACTGCACATCAGGCGGAGAACGCGGGAGCTGGCCAGTACGCGAGACGCGATAATGACGAAACCGGCAGCTAAGTTTAAATTACATACTGAGATAGGGATTGACGATTATGAGGCTAAAAAGTACGGCAGGAATTACTAACCTAAATGTATTTATACCAATTCCATATTTATATATATTGTCAAGTATGTATATTTTCTCTTCCAACTATATCCAGGGTTTTCCTTTCCTAGGGGCGAGAGTCGGAGTGCTGACTTTGTTTTATTTTCATCATCACATATTTTATTTAGACGCAGCTAAATCGTCCTTAATTTCTTAATTGTACAATTCTGGCGGTGTTCATGATTTAATTGTTGTTTATCTATTCGTAATTTTAGAACATTTTCGGCGGAGTTGTTCAAGTTTAGTTACAGTACGAATAAACTAAGAATTAGTGATAATTTGATATATATTTTCTATATCTGCCTGCTTTTAAATGCTTTATAAATTAGAATGTCACTGTGTTTTCAATAATGCTTATTAATTGATATGAACGGTTAAATGGCAACGGTTTATTTTACTTTTTGCTATTAAGGTCTATTTACCTTACGGCAGTTATTTACTTCCTGCGCTCTTGAATAATTTCGCGGCGTTTTTAAACTCTTTTACTTACGATATAAAAAAAATTACACAACGTAGAGGGTCCAATCTTAATTCAACACAACTAGACGATCACGTATATTTTAATAATGGCCAAATATTAGTTATTATATAATTTTAGGCACGTACATAACCAGCATCGGATTTATTATTTATTTTTAAATAGACCCCGGGTATGGGTGTTACATGTTTTTGCAATAGAGCACAGAAGATAAATTGAATTCCCCATTTATAATTAAAAATACTGTGTCGGGTTGCTATTGAGTTAAAGATCCTTTGTATACACAATTCCAGTGACCATACAACCCTAAGAGGAATGTTCCTAATCCTAGTAGAGGATTAAAGTGACCTACGGGGCTGTCTTCCTTTAACCTCCCTAAGCCACTCACGAAGACCAAACACCGAAGAAGAAGCACTGGTATCAGAGGGAGGAGACTGCGGGGCTATTGTCCTCTGAGCGTCTAGCGAGCAAAGCAAATATTAGGCAACATCACATCCGTTGCTGCGATCCCAAAGTTTAATTACTTAACTAAAGCCATTATATATAAAGCTACAAGTTTAGACTCACTTAGAAAAATAGAACGCATACTTCCCGATATGGTGGAAAAAAGATATTTATACGGTTGTACGCGGATAGGCTACAAGGCAAAGAATCAAATATGAGAAGACCTGAATGTGGAAAATGTAAACGAGTGATCAGCGGCCTGCAAAAACTATAATACAGGGGGGGGGGGGGGATTTTGTGCATTTTTATGAAATACACCCTGGTCAATTTCCGCGGGAAGTAAAAAATGTTCGAAATTCAAATAAACAAGATGGCCGCCATACAAATTTCAAAGCCTCCTATCACGGAAACTATTAAAGATAGGTAGGCGGTGCTCAAAGGAATGTCATAGAGGGTAACACTGGTCAACTACCTGGATTTAAAAAAATTCAAGATGGCGATTTCAAAATGGCTGACCGGCTGGAAATTGGCATGCAAGGGTCTTTAGGAGTCCTTAATCATAATTTGGGGTCAAAATTTTATTTTAGCCATTTTTTAATATGGCTGCCATTAAGTGTTTTATTTTCGTTAAAAATAGCTTCGGCAGCTATTTTTAACGATTTTGACAGATGAGACCGTCATGTGCATGGCAAATGACACGTCACGATACGATTTTACGATGAAAGAAAAGGTGAACGGATTTCGGATGGGGGACGTAAACTGCATGTTTTTGTGAGGTCATAATACGAAATTGACAGGCTATTCAACTTACGAGCTTAAACAGGATTGCTATAAGAGCTCATAGTAGGCCCCCAGGACGGATATTTTCGATAGAAAGGCGTGATACATTTCATAATGCAGTACACACTAGCGGCACATTTTTGTTGTTTTTTTGATAATACCAAGTGGCAGGACGAACAAGTCGTGCGCCTGGTGGTAAACGACACGCCTGTCCGTAATAGTTGTAGTGCTACACAGAGCTTTAAGTCGCATCGATTCGAGGGACACTGGCACTGCGTCTGTCGCCCTGAGACAAGTTGACAAGTCTGATGTGTCTGTAATTTCACCAGCACCCCTACCCTTCGAAACCGGGACGCAGTAATGCTCACATTACTGTTTGGCGGTAGAAAGGTGGCAGTTACTTCCCTGGACGAATTCTTTAACAAGGAACTCTACTGCTACTAAATTTGTCAGAATTTTGCAAGCGATAGTCTTCGATCTCTAGAAAGATGAAAATCGTAAATACCTTGTTAAGCTCCCGGACGACGTTGTCCCGGCGGTACTCCAAGGCCCGGTCGCTGAAGGGCAGCGCGTCCAGGGCCAGCACGGCGCAGCGCTTTCGGCCCGACGAGTCCCGCGGCGCCTCGTCGCGGAAGTCCCCCGCCCACCCGAAGCCGTGCCCGTAGCCCACGTACCGGCTGTAGCGCTCGCACCCTGGACGGACAAACGCCGGTTTTGTTTTGCCCTTAGCTAGTCGCATTTTTCACTTATATTGATCGATGGCTTTCTAGAACAGTGGCCTCTCAGAAAAGCATCTACTCTCAGTCTCCTTTATTGCCAACAAGTTAAGCATGTGGCTCCCAAATCAAAGACAACATATTCCCAGGAAGGCCACAATCGAACTCGAATGGTGGGTATTAAATGTTCTTCAGAGACCTTTCCTCAAAACCCAACAGTTTTTATATCGACAGACACGTCCGGTTTGTGATGGGGTGCAAATATTGGCGAAACTTCAATATCAGCTCCATGGGAACCATTACAAATGACGTGACACATCAATCTGAAAGAACTGTTCGCCGTCAGAGAAGTGATAAGAAAAAATATCATTCATTATCATATCATCAATATTGAGAGGTCACGGCTTGATGTTTCAATCCGACAACAGAGCTGTTCTTTCCTACTTGCGAAGGCAGGGAGGAAGAAAATCCAAAGTTCTGCTGAACATGACGAAGGACATCTTGAATATGTGCCACCAAGCCAACATAACAATACATCCCCAATTTATGCCAGGAAAGTACAATTTGATAGCGGATAGTCTTTCAACAGGCAATCCTGCGCCAGAGTGGTGCCTATCGAAGACAGTGCTTCAAAGGATCTTTTCGAAATGGGGCACTCCACAAATAGATTTATTCGCGTCCCGAGCATCGGCAGTAGTGGAAACCTATGAGAGTTTAGATTGCAGAAAAAAGACCGCTCTGTTCACAAATGCCTTCAGTCGAACCTGGAATTTCAAGTTGGCATGGAAATTCCCTCCGCTAACTTTGGTCCCTCAGATATTGCAACATCTGGACCAGGCCAGAGACACATATGTTCTGATAGTGCCCAATTGGGACAAAACTTTCTGGAGAGCGGACCTACGAAAAAGAGCGTTGGCACCGCCACTTCAAATCTTCATCATCACCTCCAGGATTTGACTACTCGGGCACCACCATAAGATGTGAAAGGATTAAAATTTTACTAAGTACAGGGTAAACACTGACACGTTTGACCCAGAAGGACATACAAATATCCCAAGATTCCTTAAGTGTTCTGGCCAAGGTTCGGTTCTAAAACCGATTCGGCTTTGTATCATCAATTGGGTAGGAATTTAAACGAAATAGTTTAAGGAATTTGTGTGTTCCTTATTGGATCGACAAATTAATAAGTGTATCCAATGATCGGCGTAAAGCAAACCCAAGCCTTTTCTAGTCTTTTATTACTACCCGCGGCATTGTAAAGCCTGCGTCCCGATGCGTCGTAGCACGATGGTTGAGTTCTGTACTAGACCAATTAGAAATAACAGACTCAGCTGGAAGCATAAGAGCAGCAATTGCTTCAAGAAATTATGAGTTATTACCACGGGATGAAGTTTTAAGCAAGGGCGTTTGGAGAAGTGAAAATACTTTGTTCAAGCATTATTTTAAGATAATCAAACGGACCGAAGCTCCTGTAGTAACAAAAGTTTAAGCGTCTCGTTTATAGTTAGATAATGGTAATAATTTGTTATAAGTTTCAGTTCCTTATTTGATTTAAGACTGATTACTCAGTGCTTATTTGATTACCTGATTACACGAGCACATTTTAATGATAATAATTTTTATGTACGTTTTGTGAACATGTTGTCGCATTTTGAATTCTTTGCTACTAGCAATTTAGTCTTATTGTTAAAAAACTTTAACCATTAATAAAAAAAAGCAGATTACACACATAAACCGGACTTTTACTAAAGATTATTAAGTGTAACCATCATATAATTTAATATAAGATAACATTTGACTATTTTCTAGTTCATTGGCAGATACGCACAGTACGCTGTTTCATAGGCCAGTAGAAACCAAACACGTCTCGGAGGGTCAAGCCGCAGACTCAGACCTAAAATAGAACCGTTTTTCCCCCAAAGGGAATAAAAACGGATATTTTGGGTCTAGCCAAGGCTTGACCCAAATTTTGAGTCCTTGCCGTCCGGTTGTTTTGGACTCCGAGACGTACTGAGAATCGCGCCCGCGCGTGCTTGCCGGCCCGCCTGCCTCTCGCGTCTCGCGCCGCCGCCGTAGTACTAGCGGCGCGTTTACGAAGCGTAATTCGCTGCTTATGAACGGTAAGCACGTATTCTTCATAAAAATATGCAAGTGTAATCTCGGAAGGTCAATATCCTTGGCTAGATCCAAAATAACCGTTTTTTTCGCTTTGGGGGAAAAACGGTTCTATTACTATAACGATTATTAATTCAACAAATGATGTCTTACCAATTATAATAAGAGCTTCGTTAGGTCCTAGCACTTCAGTGAACAGCATTGATATCATAAGCTCTGGACAGATCACGAACCGGATCTCTTCCTGCACACTGCCGTGGCCTAAGACTCCGCCGCCTAGGTACCTAATGAGAAAACCGTATATAGTTGCTATACATATTATTACTTCCTACCAAATACCGAACTAGTGTCAAACAGTACAAGAAAAACAAAAGTTGATGATTACATATTAGAGATAAATCAAGGAGGTGGGCACTTTAAAAATAACCCTGTATATGGGAGACGTGGCTTACATGTTCGCGAAGTCCATTTGTATGAGGCCGCTGGCGTCCTCGATGGTGCCCTGCGCATCGACGTGCAGCGGCAGCGCGGCCAGCGCCGCGCCGCTCTGCGCCCACGCAGGGCAGCTGCGCGGCGGCACCCACCGCCGGCTCAACGTCACCACGCCGCCGGGGACTGTACTGCACTATTATGTACTAAAGTTTACGTGGTCAAACTATACGCGTCTACACCTTCCGATAGTGCCTCTATACAGTTAAGAGTTTACAGCGTCTTAAGGCGATGTATTTCAACGTGAGCCTAGATTTTAGGTGAGGAGGGTCGTCACTCGCGTCTCACAGACCGCGCGCTTTAAATTTGTATGATAAAATAAGAACAGGCAGAGAAAATTAGACACAGATCCGACGTTGACAAGCGCCCTGCGACTGACGGGGCAGCATCCGCTAGGAAATTTGCAAATTTTAGGATAAATGTGAATTTAATAACTAATAAGTCTTCAGTTGAAAGTGAAAACCAATTAACAGGTTTTCTGTAGTACATAAAGATAAATATCTCCATATAAAAATAATGTATAGAGTTCATTGACGTACAATTATATGGACGTCGGGTCCGCGCTAAAAAGTGTCCGCACTTGTAAGGCGCTAAAATCGTATACAGAGCGCCAAACTCCGCTTTAGTCTTCATTTGTTCGACTGACAGCGCGATACTGCGATGACATTACAATTTAAATTTCGAATAGGTTGACTTGGGACATTTTTTTCGTGGTTTTTGTATTAGACCCGTCGTCCATTTATTTGTAAGTCAATGATAGAGTTAGACATTTTATTCTTGATTAATTCGTTTTAGACTTTTATTACATCCTATTTATATTAACTGTTATTAACTATATATATTAACTGCCTCCGTGACTGGACGGTTACCATGCCGGACTGCCACGCAGAGGTCGCAGGTTCGATTCCCGGGCCAGGGAAGAAATAGTTGTATGGCCTACAATTATTTCTCTCGTGAGTTTGGGTGTAATTCGTGGTTGTCTGTGTGTGTGTCCATGGCACCCGCAACACAGGGTTTCCCTATTGCGGGGCTATTTTGAGTGTGTGCGTTATTTATTTATTTTAATTATCGTGAAGCAAATTAGCATTCTTTAGACAATGTCCTTAGGAGCATCGTATATCTTTTGTAGGACCGTTATTTATTAGCAAATACCTAAACCATTTCGACTCATCCGAAGAACAGAGTCCGATGTGATTAAATAGCGAAAAGAGAATAAGTACATTACGAAAATAATTTCGTTATTCAAACTAAGGCCTATGTAAAGGTGTTTTGAGACTTTATATATCTTATTTCGTTTCGGAAATATAAAATCGAACAACCGTCGATCTGACATCCACAGCGAAGAAGAACGAACGAAATGTACTATGTCCTGAGAACAAGTAGTCTTGCACATAGATCTTTGTTCTACCGATGAGTCGGTATGATCTAGCAAAACAGTTTTTCCAGCTTCTACTCCAGTAACACGCCTTAATATTTAAAAAATTCGTTTGGAGAATTGTACAGCGCCAGTAACGATCACAGGTATTGTAAACTCAGCTTCTAGCGACTACTTAAATAAAATTAATAATTAACTTAAATTAACTAATTTTTTATATTTTTGAGTACTTATTTTCTTTTTGATGCAATTAATGTTTTTTTATAACATCAAGTGACGGGACGAACAAGTCGTGCGCCTGATGGTAAGTACACGCCTGTCCATAACAGTTACAGTGCCACTCAGAGCTTTAAATTCCAAAGATATGCACTACCACGGCTTCGAACGGCTTAAATGGAAGAGACTGATATGAGAAAAGAAATTTTACAGGAGCGTAATGAGAGGAGGTTTATTATCCCTGCTTGGGTTAGAAAAATAGGCGTGATAGTATGTGTTAAAATAATGGATGAAAAAACGTATACGAAATGATCTAATGTATATACCTTACATTGTACAATATCGTGCGATAATTAATATCAAATAAAAAGGCACAGAATCGGAAGGCGTATTACGTGGCAAAGAATATCTCAAATATTGTTTATTATTGAAAAAAAAATTAAAACATATTAAGGGCTTTTCCACATCAAGGGCATCATTTATATCCTTTAGGCTCAATTTACATTGCGGCGGAACGGAATGGAAGCGAATTTTTGTAACGATATTGTATGTACATAGCGTAATGAACTTTATGGTTAAAACGTTGACGAAACGTAAATTGCGCCTTAAAACGTGGAGTGCTAGGCGATTCGTACGCCCTCTAAAAGATCAGCTACTCAGTTGAATGTGTGTGTGTTAAATTTAATGTTAAAATTGTCACCTTTCGTGCAAACTCTTCTGAAATAGTGACAAATGCACTTCAATTTCTCCAGAATGTCGCCATGACCCTCACTCTCGTACAGCCTGAAAAAACACACAAAGTTTATATGTTCATTTAGACCATAGTTTCCCCTGTGGGCGCTGAAGAGTTCTAGGGCGTTGGTGCTGTCCAGGGGTTACTACCGCATTTGAAAAAAGAATGTGAATTATATTTAAACTAACCTACCCTACCCTATTTAAACACTTACATTGACATTTTTTTGTATTAAGTTAATATAAAAAATACGTGTTTTCAATTATATATTGACATTTTTTTACCTTGCCTAAGAGGGCCATGAGCCAAAAACTTTGGGAACCTATGATTTAAACCATTGCATAACCAACTTCCTGTCAGAAGGCTTCACTTTTCAATATCCACCCTTCACTACTGCCGCTATGTCAATGTAAATTAATCTTTGAAGACAGCAAGCATTTTACAAATACTTCTGCAAAATGTATTATCTCTTTTACTTAAACGTCAATAATGAAAGTTACTCACGAGCTAAAATTTATGTGTGGATAGGCGGAGTACTCCGATGTTCTCTTGTTAGAATTTCGTCGAGGGAAAGTGCAGAAGAACGCGTTCGCGAGCAGGCTTGCGATCTGCTGCTGAGACAGCGATATGGAATGATTCTTGTCTTGTCTGTAAGTAAAAAGAAACAATTGTTTATCCAAAATAAAATATCACATCATGTATGTCACACATTTTCCAAAGATGATGTGAACCTACTTCAACATGCTATCTTGCAATACAATACAATATAATAACACAGAATTTAAGATCTCAGGTACATGGTACATGTCGATACAGAAATTCAAACCGTCAAATTTTGAATTAAGAAACAACCGTTCTTCGACTTTGCTACCACCACACTACACCCCGGACACTCCATACAACAGTCGAAAATTATTTACCTACTACTACTACATACAGCAAGGCGCTATCTGGGGTTACCCATCACTTTCTTTGCACTATTACGTTACGTGATCAGAGCGGCAACATAGCGAAAATGTTAACGCGAATCTGTTATCTATGATTCTACTAATAGAATCCAGAATCCAAATAATTACACATGTCTATTAAGTATTTATATCGATATAATATCATATTTTTCATTAATTCACTAACTAAATAAATATTGAAGATTTATTTAAAAAATACATTAAAAGCCCTTAAAATGTTATATTTTGGACATGTACTTTTAAATAAGGTAACCGAGGTATTTGAAATTGCGTGTCCAAGTTGATCATCATTATTTAGTTAATAATTAGGTATATTCACTACTTACCTAATATTTATCGGCAATACGAATTGAAAATTCGAGAACCCTTGTCTACGAAGTCATGGCGCCTCGTTATATTGATATAATAAATCTGCATTTTTATACATACATATATAAATCAGCAGTAAATAAATGAAGAAAACAATAACTGAATGAGTCCCAGACATGAGTTTTTTTTTTTGCTTACTTCGTTTCATCTTTCTTTCGGAAAATGATGATAAACAGCCGTACACAGCACAATTCACGGCCATTATAAATAGTAACGTAAAATGATGTTTTATATTAACGTACAAGTTTCGTAATGAATAAATGAAAACTATATTCAAATATCAAAGCCGTCTTCGCGCGAAAACGACTCGCCAGCAGCCTTGTTGTCATTCAGTCAATGTGACCAGCAATGTGCGGGGCGTGGTGCGGTATCTAAAGCTAGGGAGGGGCAGAGAGTGTCCATTCTCTTTACTTTTTGTTCTCTGACCACACTTAGTTTCATACCAGAGACTACAGAAATCTAAATACTTTTTCTCTAATAATTTCAATTGTATTTTTTTAACTGTAATATCAGTTGTAGAGGTGGTCATCATTGACTGTGGACATTTGCAAGCTTTCTCTGCGTCGTTATCCTTTGAGAGCCCTGATTACATGCTTTTTGAAGAACCCCAAACCATTTTACAGCAAAATTCACTTTATACTCACTTCAACAAAGGTATAGGAGCTTGTACCAGCTTAGGCAGATCCAACGCCAGCTTTGCTATTAATGGCAATGTACTGTTGAAAAAGTAATTGGACTCATCCTCATCCAAATGCTGGAAAGACATAAATCAAATCATTTATTCACACAATTATGCACCTGACTTGCAAGACAGCCTGATATTTAGAATGAAATGCTGCATCTTCAAAAGGTTTTCAAGTAAGGCAGTGGGGGGGGATTCCAATTATTTACTTTATGGGGCCACAAATCTGTAGTTATGACTAACTACTCTTGAAGTTCATTAACAAAAAAACGGATCCGTTAGGAACTCAAGTCTGTAATTCAGCCATAACAAATAAAAAAAAAGGCAGTCAGATTTCGTGTTTCAAGAGCAGGGCCCTTGTACCTAGGAAAATTGTAACGCAGTAAAAATATAAAGATGATACTAGAAAGGAGGAATACAAAATATTGAAAACTGTAGGCTAACATTTTATTTAGAATTATTTTTATATATTTTATTACTATTATTGTATTACCTGTACAGCTAGCCCCAGTTACCAGAGGACAAAACAGTTGCAGCAAGGGGAAGCCTTCAGTTGCTTAACACTGCAGGCCTTGGCTCCTAGTTATAATTAGTGGTGACCATAATAAATCAATTACTGGTTGCAGTGATAAGCCCCTTATCATTTAGCACAGACCTCGAAAAACCCAGCCCAATAATAACAATCTAATCTAAAGAAATAAATGTATTTCAGATTTGATTTTAGCTAATTAAGAATATTGTTGTAATTAAGGATAGACTATTGATTATTATGGACAAGCAATAATTACTTCATTAAACAATGTATGTAGAGCACGAAACTTCCATTTGTCCTTAAACTTGATGTTATAGCTCAGGATAGCATCTGCAAGCTTGTGGCTGTTGCTGATTGGCTTCCGTAGTGCCTCTTCTATCATCTCCCATCGTTTCTTTAGATATGTCTCACCATTACTCTGGAAGAAAGGGTTACAGGAATTAAGCTAATTTCTATAATTCGCACCCTTCATGGAAGAATGACATAAGTGGAGTTACATAACTACAATGGATCAAAGGACAAGCAGCTCACATGGCAGTGACACAGCAGATGAACTGGACAGAAGATGCCGTCCGCTAATTCAAAAGCGACTAAGTAACAAAATATATTTTTAAATATCATAAAAAACCATAAACCAGTCTTATGAATACTGAAATTGTTTTAATGATATTGCAACTATGCATCGTTAGATTAAGTTCCAATAAATCAAACACATTAACTAATTTTAACTGTTTTTAAAAGATAATTTTGTGCTCATCTTTTTTCTATTTAAAACGAATATTTGACCATTTGTCACTTTGCCACGTTTTAGTTACTAGATAGCAGTGCACTCGTCACCCTGAGACAAGTTGACAAGTCCCATGTGCCTGTAATTTCACCAGCACCCTCACCCTTCAAAACCGGAACACAGTAATGCTGACATTATACTTGGTGGCCGAAATAGGTAAGGTGGCAGTACTTCCCTGGATGAACTCTTTCACAAGGAGTTCTACTGCTACTAAATTATATTTGTTATATTAATTGTTTTTAACCAAATTTCTACTCTTAATGCAAACAACACAACACAGACAAACTGACACTGGTTCCAATCCAGCTAGCAAAACGTAAGTTTTCTTTGATATATAGCTCTATTATTATGGAAGTAAATAACAAAATAGGGCAAAATACCTTCAAATTAGACGCTTCTAGAAGCACTACAGTGGCACAACTGTGGTGATGCAGCCACACCACTACTAATGTTCATACAATATTTAGAAGCACAGTAGGTCCACTGTTGTGCTTCTAAATATTGTGGTGCCACTTTTGCAGTCACAATTCTTCTTAAAAAAAATCGCTTCTACAGGCGTCAAATTCAAAAGTGTCCGTAAGAAGCAAGACCCTTACATCTTCAACGGGATACAAGCTCTTGTCAGAGCACGGGAGACGAACATGTCCGTTATCCCATATATCACGACCTCGATGAGGCTTAGGAGGCCGGTCTCCGATATTCCCATCATTCGATATGTGGTACAACACAGTATGATGACGCGATGGAGTCACCAGTGGAAATTCCGGAGCTCCCCACGGAGACTGCGATCCAATTATTTCACTGAGAGGCACACCCCGCCAACTAACACTTGCCATGTCCGCATCAATCGAGTAATAACGTAAAAATAAAACTGAATAATCGCCTCCAAGCGGCGATCGATCGATAAAACACGCCGGATAATAGTCGGCTTTGATAAACACAGAAATTGGAGCTTTCAACCTAGCAATAATATGTTTGGAAAAATGCATCAAAGGGTTGACCCAAGTATTAATAAGAAATATACGGGAAAACCGACAAATTACAAAGATTATCACGTCATAGTTCAAAATATCTGCCCGAGCGAGCAGTAGAAAAATGACATCTATTAAGCCTCTTTTTTTTTTATATAGTAATTGACACCTGTCAAACGCTGATTTACTTATTAATAATTTTGTCTTGGATACAAGTCCTTTGAGCCATGTCTTCGTTTAATTATGTTTCTGTAAATATGGCCGCCACAAAGAGAATAAGCAATTTGAGGCGGCGTGTTTGGATTGACTCGGGATTCCTTAGAACGGGCCGATACGGGTATTTTAGTTCGAGATTCGTATAATTTCGCGTTTTAATCTTCGATTAAGGCACAATAGCACTATCCTATTCCACTTTAAACTAGATTTCACAAAATAATTGAAAGTCAAAATAAAACGACACTTTTCCCTCCAAAAGGCCCAGAGCGAATCTGTCAAACGCTGAATTTACGTACTACGTCTATGGAATTTACTAAACGAAACGGAAACGATGGAGCCGCTATCTTGTATTAGTGGTTTACGGCCACTGTAAAGGTATTTTTCGCTATTGTCCAATCATTTTAAATCTCGTTTTTCTATTAACTTACTTTTAGACAAGCTGCTTTGAATTTAGCTCCTAATTGGTCAACTCAAGGTCATATCCAAGGTCCCGCTGTGCTGCTCTGCCGCTCCGGGCCAGCGCCAGCTCCATCCTGACGACTGTGGTACAAAGATATGATGCCCGCATTATACATCATTTCCTTCAGGTGCTTGTTAGCAAAAGATGTTTATTTAGAAAAAGTATGCTGACAAACACCATTAAAATCTCTTTCTGGACCCCTATTTTATATTTCACAACATCTACCCCGTAGCATGGCTACGCATGATAGTCGCGACACACGCGATAAAATAGAAATAAGCGCGCGCTATTGGCTATCTAAATTAAATGTGATTGGAACAGTTAATAGCGCGCACTTATTTCATATTTTATCGCGCGCGTCGCGACTATCATACGTAGCCATGCTACGGGGGCTAATATATACATACAATAACTCTAAAATATTTGGCGATTTACACTACTTCTGTGCCATTCGTACCGCTAGCATGCTAAGGGCTAGCACGAAAGGGCGCGACTTGCGCGAGAGCGACATTAATAAAGCGCGAGATCTCTATGCGAGAATAGCAGTATCTCGCGTTATATGTCGCTTTCGCGCAAGTCGCGCCCTTTCGTGCCAGCCCTACTGAACGTATTTTCTCACTGGCTTACATCACTCTAAATATCGATTCAAGAGCATGCGACCCGATCGGTGAATCGATTCAGAGCATGTGATCCATTAGGACTTAGAGCATATAGAACGGGAGACGCTATTAGCGTTATTTCTCGAACACAACTTTCTGCCACTTTTTGAGGGACGGGAGATAGTACTACAAGCAAACAGGTGCACTCAAATGCAAAATTGAATTGTGTCACTATGGTCTCACTCATACAAAAGGACTCTCACACCACAACACTATTTTATTTTTACCATTTTACGAATACACAGATAAAACACACATTCATGTCATGTCCGTACACAGAATAGGCCTACAAAAATAAATCGATTTTCATGAATGTACTAGAGACGGAAAGTTATCGACGTGATGTTGTCGATATGTATTACGTACTGGTTAATCATGTACCTATATGAACAATATAATTTCACTCTTGGCTAGACTGGACGTAGTGAATTTCTATTTCCAATTTTGTGTGTAGTGTAACAGTGGTATTGTTTTACTTGTATTTGCTAGAGGAGATTGCCCACTGACTTAACAATAAATGGTTGACAATAAATACAATCCAAAGTCTAATCCGAAAACCTCGAAAATATGTCGGGAGTTTTTTTTTCAGTTTATGGCTTTTCGCGGTCAGCGTTGGAGCCAATGACAAGCATGTCCGGAGTTAAGGACTATCCACACACATCAAGGCCGTGCCCAGGACGTGGACAGGGCGTGCTAGTTTGTATGAACTACGGGCCCGTCCCGGACACGGACATGTGTGAACGAGTCCATACAAAATATATGTATGCAACGATATTTTTTTTAGCCCCTGACGGAGCACGGCCCGGACATGTGTGGATAGACCTTTAACCTCAACAAACGTAGTGACTTGTTGACTAAAAATATTTAAAAAAACTAAAACATTTAATTTTCATGCTTACACAATTAACATTTAATTTAGACTGTAAAGTCATTGCAGTATTGCTTAATTTTGTTTGCCACAATTTAAAGGCCCAAAATTATCCATATACAGCTTTTACTGGAAATAACAAAATGCATCATATTTAGCTTCTAGTGAAAACTACTTGAACACAAGAGTGATGGAGTAGTCTTAATGTCAATATTAATCAATTTTATAGTATTATGTTGAATTTTATACGAATTCGCTTCAAATAATAAGAGTTGTGCAGATATATAGGTACACACAAATATTGCAAATGTGAAAATAGCTGTGTCTCTCTGTTGGTAGTTATGACGTGCTGTAAGAAATGTATCGATGATTCGAATTTCTAGATTCCAATTAGAAGTAAACTCAAAGTTTCATAATCTCGAAAACCGATTACGGGGGATTTTGATTGCTTATTACAAAGAAAGGATTAAGTTAGTTTGTTTTGTAATATTCCTAAAATAACCTAAAAAAGTACCTTTGGGGTTACAAAAATTCGAGCTAACATTACTTCGAGCAAATGTATTTTTGGACTTCTGATTGATAACTCCAAGCAATAAAACGAGTACAACAATATTTTGTTAGTTATTTATTACCAACATTTAATAAAAAGTCATTTTAAAAATAAGATTAACATTAAATCGACTCTATAATTTCATTGTTCTAAATCTAAATGTTTCAATCGTTTGTGGTTCGAAAATTGAAATTGACGTAACGAGACTCTGTCTTTTGCGCATGTCTTGTGTAGGATAAGGATAGTTAGTTATTTGGTTATTTTTATTGCTTTTGTAATTTATTTGTATTGTATGTATGTACTCGCATATGTACTTTTTATTTTTATTTTTTTCTTACAGTACGGCATTATTTATGATGGTTTATATTAAACAATTACAATTTATTTTCATCATTTATAATTTATTACATTATTATTTAATATACAATACGACGGAGAAATCAATTTGAATAAACTTCGTTATATAATCTATCGATAAAAATAGGAGGTAAAAGAGCATTCTCTATAACGAAAAAACAGCGTCCATGAAGTACTGCATTTTTGTCTATAGTTGCCATGTAGTTGCCTGTTGGTAAAAAGGGAACTTCAAAGGCATTATGTCAAATGTTCGAATGTTTTCAAATATATATATATTTTTTATATAATCGATAAGTTGAATCAATGTGATCATTGTGAAAAACTTGTCATAAAATAGAAAATTAGCAATGAATGTAAAAAATAGGCTTTTGTATGGAATGCAATTCCACCCTTGGCCAGACTGGATGCAGCAGAGATTTTTTGGAAGTTTGTATAGCGCAAGACGACATGTTTCGTGGAGTGTTTGACGCGGTGAATTCGATAATGGAAAAGAAAAACATCGATTTGAAAGTAATGTTTATTGTGCGATAGTTGTTTTGTGCTTGTACATACCTTGACAGTGGGGATTGCCTATCGATGACGCTTCCAGTCCTAAATGCTCTAAGCATTAGGATCCAAAAAATCGTTTTAAAGCAAAAAATAGTGCATCCTAATCTGACTTTCCTCTTTTATGTCTTAGGCTCAACTCACACTGGCGCAGGGTCGCCCGGATCACAGTGTGGTCGGCATCCGACGCCTCACTGCGCTCAAGTGACACGCGGCGACCAAGCCGCTCGACTGCATCCAAGCGTCGACGCCTGTTTCCATATTTGCATAACACAAAGTTGTACCTTCACAATGGGAAAATAGAGATGAATATACTATAGGCGAAAAAGATGACGCGTCGCGACGCTTCGACTCCGCGCCAGTGTGAGTTGAGCCTTATTCTTATCATAAACTGTCAGCTGTCTGTCACCGATACATCTGACATGTCAGTTCAGTAAACTTCAGTATGTTTCGCTCAAGAGGTTAAAAAATACTTACGTTAACTACCGCACATAGTAATTTTTACTTGATATTGGCGAAATCATCTTTTATTTCGATGGAGCCATAGCATTTGAAAGAATAAGTATTGTTTCGGCTAAACGACAGCCTCCAAATTGTCCTCTAATAAGATTTTTATATGAAAAAAACAACAATAACAAAATAAAATTCATCATGGCTTTAATGAGGTCGAAATCGAACGCTATTCCCGAAGATGGCATTGTGATGGACGAAATGGAAGCTACTACTTATGTTTGGGAACTCGTCACTAACTGGGAGACTACATCGGACACGTAAGGTTTACACCTATTAATTGAAAATCTTTTCTTGTTTCGTTGTCACTCTATAGTCAAAGTATAACCGGCCATTGAGTCGATGTTGACTCGTCAATTCTAGCAAGAACAAACTGAGGACAAGGTTGGACTGAACAAAAGGGGGCACTATGGAAATGGGACATACAAAATTTCAATAATTTTATTATTATTTGTTTTTACTGCTTGTTTCGAGTAGAATTGATCTAAAGAAACATTTTTTATTCTTATAAATTTTTCTTCTATGGCCAATAGTTATAGAGAAAATTTATTAGAAAACAAAATATTTATTGCGGCCTAGCACTTGCAAATCTTGAAATTGATTGTTAATTAATTTTGTTATAATATGTTGTTTTTAATGCTAGTTTTGGGTAGATTAGACTTAAATAAACATTTTTCGTTCTTGTAATTTTTTTCCTATGGCTTCTATCTTTTGTCAAAATTTGAAAATAATTGAAATTTTACTGTGCTAATTTAAGTTTTCTTATTTTTTTAAATATATGTATATGAGTAAAAAACAAGAAAATTATTTCACTCGACTGTGCTTTACGATAGCTCTAAAACGTAGATGGATCTTTATGCAATGGTGGCTCGGTGCTTGATAGTTGTAATGGGAAGATAGATGATAGGAATAATCATGATCAGAAGTTATCCAAATTCATACATTCAAAGAGAGAGCAGTATCAGATTTCTATTTTTCTGAGCTCCAGTCTTTGTCAGTATCACAAAAAATGATGGATAATGCAAGTCATACAAAATAAATTCAAGCAATTTTCTCCTGACCCTAAGGCGGCACGTATGGTCACATATTGTTAAAAAAATTTCGTTCATAAAAGATTATAGCATATTAGATATAGTACATATAGATAAATAATTTCAGCCAACATAACATTCACTACATATAAAAAATCATTTTCAGGTGGGCTCTTCGATATGGACCAGTAGTCTTAGGCAGCTTAAACGCAGTGTCGGGTATTATTATCAACCAGCACTTCAGGCGGAAGCTTAAGCTAGGCAACTATGGATACTTTTCTTCCGTTATACCAGTTTCAATCCTGCCTGGGATGCTCACAGCCTTATTTCATAGACATGTATGTGTGGATTGAATTTGTTAAAGTGTAATGCTTGAGTTTTGCATTTAAATAGTACAAAAAGTCTAAGGTTTCAATTATATTTAAAGCATGCTCTTGTTTCTTTCTCTCATTTCACATGTGAGAAAACAACAAAACTACTCCAAATATAAATAGTGTCATAAGCTAAATTAGGAACTATTGTTCACTCTAAAAAGAAAGAATAATATGTTCTTTTCATATTTAAGTAATTTGAGTGCAAATAT